CTTTCACATTCCAAAGTGGACACATGAATGCATGATTTAGCGAAACAACTTCTGTATTTCCAAAAGTCAAATTTATCTCAAAGATGCTTTATTGTATGTCAAGACAGTAACCTTTCTTGTTACTGTGACAGCAAGTGCATTCAACTAAAAAACAAGTTGAGCTCATGCAGTAACATTGATTTTGATAATCAAGATAAAAATGATAACCCCAAATCCATATGAAAGACTTCCATTCATTCTGTGGCTACTTCTTAATGCTCTGGCTGATGAAATAAGACTATTTTTAAGACAGTAAATGTTTAATACTTTTTTCATCACATTTGGACTTACAGGACCCATCCAACAATATAATCGTTTTAAGTGGCTGTGGAACATCAGGAAGATTGGCCTTCATACTGTGTGTAAGAAATTTTTCTGATATATAAAATACTGTAAAATACTTTATTTTTGCTTGGAATTAATTTTCGTTATTTTTGCTGAAGGAATGATTCAGTGAAAATAAAATCCAGCGAATATACTTTTTTTCCTTTATTTTACATTCAACTCGTCAAAAATCATTGAAAATAAAATCCACACAAAACACCCAAAAAGTCTTTTCAGCGGGGTCTAATTCCAGCTAAAATAAAGTATTTCACAGTAGAATAAAAAAATAATGCAGAGTTTCCTAAGCAACCGATTATAATAAACAGAATCTTTCTTTTCCATATTTTTTCAAAAATTTTGTTCAAAACTTTTAAGCATTAGAAAGTTACATCCATTTGGTTCAAAATTAACCAAAAAAATATAGAAAAATATAAAAATTGAAAAAACATTCTACCAAATATTTAGTAGAAAAGGTAAAGGAATTGGTAAAGGGTTGATGTCTTATTCAAGATATCAAATTGTAAGAAGTAATAAATGTAATGTTTTTTTAATCATTAGGCACGACGTCAAAAGATCGATGTTGGATAAAAAACTTATTTGCTTCAGTTTGGGGGTGGGGGGTTTTTGACCTCCTACAAAAACAATTTTATTTTTAATGAAGCCAACAAAATCTTGGAGTATTTGTAGTTCGTTTTTTAGCTCCGCTGTCGACTTTGTCGAGCGGAGCTTATCATATGAGTGATTGTCCGTCGTCGTCCGTCGTCGTCGTCCGTGTCAATGTTTTACTTTTTCGACTTCTTCTTGAAAACTACAAGCCTAAATGCTTTGATACTTGGTGTATATGTACCTTGGGTAGACCTCTCTTAGGTTTGTTCATTTCATGTTGATATCTTTAATTCTCTAATTTTGGTGAATATTTTTGTCATTTTTGGTAAAAACTGATATTTTCGACTTCTTGTTAAAAACCGCAAGTCCAATTGCTTTGATATTACATATATAGGTACTACATGTGGACCTCTCTCAGATTTGTTCATTTTGTGATGATATCTTTAATTCTCTAATTTTGGTGAATATTTTTGTCATTTTTGGTAAAAACTGATATTTTCGACTTCTTGTTAAAAACCGCAAGTGCAATTGCTTTGATATTACATATATAGGTACTACATGTGGACCTCTCTCAGATTTGTTCATTTTGTAATGATATCTTTAATTCTCTAATTTTGGTGAATATTTTTGTCATTTTTTGGTGAAAAGTGATATTTTCGATTTCTTGTTAAAAACCGCAAGTCCATTGCTTTGATA